TCCCACGTCATTATAGTTGTGCTTTTAAAGTTGTAGCAACGTTTCGGTCGCTACAACTTTAAAAGCACAACTATAATGATGTGGGAAAATACCCGAACAGAGCTGAATACCATACATATAAATACCCGCGAAAACTTAAGAAAACATATATATATAAGCTCCAACCAAGCAACCTAGATTTTCTCTCTCTTCCTCTTGCTTTTTCTAAATAAAAAATTCTCACAATTGTTGATGAATTTTGAAAGTACCAGAGCAGTAAGTACCAGAGCAGTCCTTATGTTCTCAAATTGGAGAGCATGCAAATCTTTATTTGGCATTTGGCCTTTGGCATTTGCACATTTCTCGATGGATATTATAATCTGCTACTTCTCTCTCTCCCTTTTTGTCTTGTGCCAGGGGCTTCATGCACACCTTCCTGTCTGTTTCTACCTAGAGATCCTGTGACATTGCCTGAAAATGTCACAACTGATACCATGGATCACAGACTGAAACCTACCAAAGTCCAGGTAAAAAGAAGGGGAAATGCTGCAACTTTGAAAGAGGAATATATTAGCTTTTAGTCTGCTCACCTAGAACTGTGGAAAGTGCTGATCTAAGGTTATAGTTTCTTCAGTGATCTGATGTACATTTCCATCTTATAGTCCAGTTTCATTAGGAAAGCTATGAGAGTGATGAGCGAGTATGACTAGGAGCAAAAAACACACAGAAAAGGAAGTTGTTTTTGAAAAGAGCTAAAAGAGTTATGATGTGCAAAACTCATCTTCCTCCTTCCTCTGGCTGCAGCTTGGATTTCTAATTAAAGGGGCAAGCTTTTTCTTCATGCTTACGTAGACATTTCCTCTTACCTCTCTCATTTTGGGGGATTCTAACATTTTTAATATTTAAAAAAGGAGGCTTCATTATGAACAATCATCATGAACTAGAAAATCAAAGCTACATTTTTATCTGGGGGGGGGATGTAAATTATTGTTTCCCTTTTTAAGAAATCCAATTTAGACCTTGTGTTTGAAAAAACATAGGTGTAGCTCCAGAGGGTAGATTTGGCCATAAAGTATAGGTAACAACCAGTAATGTTATTGTCACCTCGTGGTCATCTGGGCAGCAAACAAATTTAATAAATAAATATTCTGTTGTTCTGTTTTTGACATGTAAGAGTAATGACATCCCAACAAACTAGACCTAAGCTACATAGATCAAGACCACTGCTGTAACAGCTCTAGTAACAGAATCTGAATGTGACAATGTCAACATGGGGAAGTCAAAACGTTACAGCCCCCACTGTGAGGGAGATGGGCAGTTTCTAAATGTGATAAATAGAATACTAACTCTTATGGCAATATAGTGCTTTGAGATCATTGCTTTTTATAATCCATGATGAAGTTATTATGGAACAAGCATCCAACAAGACTAGGAGTGGGAAAAGCCAACAATGAAGTATTAATGGCTGGAAACAATTGGAATATAGTTTTAAGAACTTCACTTAATCATGATTTTTAAATAAGGAATATAGACATATCAAACACCGTTCATGCTTGGATGATGCTTGGGAAAATACACTGGTTGAGTCTTTGCCTGGCATTCTTTCCAGCTCTTTCTGGGAAGAAGAAATGCATAGGTACAGAGAGAAAAAATAGGAAAAATGATCTGGAAACATCTGTGGAGTATCTGTTTGCATTCTAAGTTATCATGATACACTCTGGTTTTGTTACCCTGAATCTTGACTCTGTTGTTTAGCTTTTTTCTAGTTGCATTCTTATCCCTCTCAGTGGAGTGGCTAAAATACCTCAGATGTTATCATTCTGTTGCTTCATCTAACTTGAGTTTGCCTGAAAATGAAATAGAAGATTGTATTTTTAAATGGTATTTAAAAACATTTTTTTAAAAACCAAATCAAGTTGTTATGGAGCTGAATACGATTATCTATCTTTTACCCAATATTATCTTTCTCCTCATGGGAATTTTCAGGATTATCTAAGTTTCATTTCTTTAGACACCGTTGTGTGTTCTATTATATAAACCCTGCAATTGTGCTGCTTGTTATGTTCAAACGGGAAAAGGGTATCTATGCCCCTTTAAGGTCTGTAATTCTGAAGTGGAATGCTCTTGAGTTGATTTTCTCCTATTGTTGGTTTTTTTGTGAAATGTTTTCCCTTCCAGCTGAAAACCCCTTGCTACATAAAAGTGTTCTCCTGGGAATAGGGAAACAGAAAAGAGAGTAATATAGGCAGGAGGTTTTGTTATTGTGAAACTAAATTATTCCCATTGCCAGGAGCTGTCGCTAAACATAATTCTCTTTTTTGTTAATTTCTTGATCCTTCTGTATATTTTCAAATCACTTCTCTTCCTCGATTTGATGGTCGACTGGATGTTCTGTGAACTTTAATGGCATTGTTGAATCATTGTCTCCAAGAGGTATCTGCCATACAGATCAGGGTGAAGTAGAAAGAACAGTGAAGTGGATTAGGGACCTGGGCTTAGATTGATTGGGGTCAAGCAGACTGAAATCTGCCAACTGGAGTCATCAACTATAAACGCAGTAATCTAAATGTATTTATACTTCATTCAAAGAAGCAAAAATAGTTACGTATGTGAGTCTACATTTGTTCACTTCATTATATGGAAACAAGCTGGGTCTTTTCAAGAAAAACCCTTAAATAAGTTGAATACAGTGAGAACGGGGTGCTTCAGAAATGTTTGTGACAAAACAAGAAGAGATAATAGTCAAGAATGAATTAGTGTTGAGTGAAGGAGGATGAATACAGAAGGGTATATATGTCGAGAGGAATTGTTTATATAGAGCAAATGAACAGGAATTAAATTGTGGAGAACAATGGTGGCAGGCTACAGGTTCGGCCCGGTTCAACTGAACAGCTGAACGGTAGTAAAACAAAGCCTCCGATCAGCTGAGAGGAGGAAGAAAAAGCCTCCGACATCCAGATGGGAGGTTAAAAGATCGAAAATCGTGTGGGAGGGTCACTCCTAGCTTTTTGTTTCTTCATCCGCCCAGCTGATTGGCTTGATCGGTGCGCGCGCGTTAGGGCACAATCACCCCCTACTGGTGAAGATATGAAAGATTGAAAAAGTTGTGGTTGGACTGAGTTCATGAGATCCTCAAAAACAGAGAATTGATAATTCCAAAGAAGAAAAGAATATATAAAAAAGGTAAATGGAGATGGTAAGAGCAAGGATGCAAGGATGCTAGAATGCTTAAAAAGCAAGGATGCTTTTCAGTATAGAAAAATATGGAAGGATATAGTGAATAGTATAAACTAGTTTTAGCTATGTTTCTTTTTCTTGTCTCAGGGCTTTAACCTGCTTGGTTTAGAATTTCACTACATATTTCCATCATATATAGAGTAACCTTGATATTATAGCAGTGAGGTAAATTAACATAAATGCTTCTACAATACTTATCAAAAAGTATAGGCATGTTTTTAGGTTAGCTAAGGACAATATTATTTTCTTTGTTTTGTGGGGATTGATAGGTTTAAAAGTCAAATATTTTTATTAACATCTTTCAATGATAAGCCTGCATATACTATATAAGGTTCACAAATCAAGATTTTTTTTTTTAGAAAAAGGATGATGCAAAACCTAAAATTATCTGGAATCAAAATTCTTTACCATATAGGAGATTGTGTATATAATTTGTAATTCCATTTGCACAAAATCTTTAACATTACATAGAATATAATATATCTTTGGTGACATAAGATATATATCATCAATAATTTTTTTGCTTGCTGTTATCCTCTTGACTAACGCAAAACTCTTTTTATCTCTCTTCAGAGTATCGTATGTACTGGAAGACTGGAATGGTATCCTAACCCAAAATCTATTCATTGTATTATTTCTTGTGAGGTAAGAAATATTCTGTCTGTCTGTTTCTCTCCTCCCCCCCCTCCCACTTTCTCTGTCTTCCTCTATCATATGCCAAAGGGAAAAACCATTGTGCTTTTGTGCAACCCCCCCCCCCCCCATTTGTCTCTAATCATCTCTTTCAGAATTGATTTTATTTAGATGTTTTGTATATAATGTACTTTATTGTACTCAGAAGGATCTTTAATTTGCTGTGTCCTTTTTATTGCCACTCAATTGTAAATTGGGATTATTGTCACCAGTTCCCAACTTTTGAGAACGTACCCTGTGTAATCAATACACATAGAGAGAGTCCGTTATGTATAATTCAATTTAAGCAATTCAGGAAGGATGCAGTCACTAGGAGAGGCTTTTCCACTGTGAGGGATTCAATTAGTCTAGGCGCTTCGAGAGGTGGGTCACTAGCCATTTAGTATGACCAACTCCAGTGATATTCACCAGATTGGACTCAGGGTTTAGAGTTCAAAAGTGTTTGTCATGTTTATACAGGAACTTGATCAACAGGCTTCCTAACAGTTTTCTTGAGACCTCAGTTGTAACTTCCAAAGAGTGAGGCTTTTAAAACTGACTTGATTAAAGCCTGTCAGCTGTCAGTGGTAGCTTTATCCACTTTACTATTCAGGAGGGCCTTAGAGATTAAACATTGTAGTGTAGAGCTCTTCAATATTCCTACAAATGTAGAATGAATGAACGAATGCCCCAAATGTTGATCTAACCACTTTGAAGGGAGAACTGTCAAAGCCACAAAATGGTTGCTGGGCGGTACTTTTTACATCCCTGAGCTTGATCTAAAGATGTAGCAGAAATGTCTTCTGTAGTTATCAAACAAATAGTTCCTCTTCAGACTGAAAATAAATCAATTTTCTACTGTTCCTGTAATCCATATGGAAGAAGAAATCTGACTTTTGGTGTACAGGTAGTCCTTGACCGCATTCAGCCTAAAAATTATGTTGTTAAGTGAATCCTGCCGCATTTTTCTACCTTTCTTGCCACAGTTGTTAAGTGAATCACTGCAACTGTTAAGTTAGGAACGCGGTTTTTAAGTGGCTTCCCCATTGACTTTGCTTGTCAGAAAGTCACAAAACATGATCACTGACCCTGGGACACTGCAGCCATTTTAAATATAAGTCAATTGTAAAGCATCTGAATTTTGATCACATGACCATGGGGATGTTGCAATGGTTGTGTGAAAAATGGTCATGAGCAGTAGTGGGATTCAAAATTTTTTGCTACTGGTTCTGTGTGCATAGCTTATTTGGTGGGCACGGCTTAGGGTCACGTGACTGGGTGGGCATGTCTTAGTGCCATGTGACAGGTGGTCATGTGACTGGGTGGTCGTGTGACTGGGTGGGCATGGCTTGGTCATCATGTGACTGGGTGGGCCTGGCTTGGTGGTCACATGACTGGCTGTGTGGCTTGGTAGTTATGTGACTGGGTGGGTGTGGCCAACTCAATGTCACTAAAGTCAAGAGGTGCCTCGCCTGGCTTCTCCCCTCCCAGCCATTCCTTGTCACACCCAGCCTCAACTTATCAATAGTTCTGTAAAAATGTGGTTCACCTTTTTTTGAGTTTATTATCTACATACTATAGATGTACTTTCATGGACCACTGAAAGGAGGAAATGGCTCACATGCTTTGTCCAAGAGGGTGATAGGCAACAGGCTTTTAGGGGGCTGCTAGAAAGAGGGTGGAGGCAATGTACTTTCCAAAGCACCAGAAGGATAGAAACTGAACACAGAGAGAAGCAACCTAAAAGTAAGGAGAAACTTCCTGAGAGTGAGAACAATTAACCAGTGGAACTGCCTGTCTCCAGAAGTTCTGGGTGCTCCAACACTGGAAGTTTTTAACAAAAGACTGGAGAGCCATTTCTCTGAAATGGTATAGAGCTCCCTCCAAGGCCCCTTCTAAGTGTTATTCTGTTATTCTAACACCTTTCCCAGGACCTCTATTCAGACTTTGGCATCCTCAGAGTTTTCCTGCCTGAGCAGGGGACCTCCATAGTCCCTTTCAACTCTGTTAAACACACCTGTATTTATGCTCTGGACTATTGACATATAAACCCTGAAAAACACCTGGGCAAAAGAAAGGCAGTAAAATCACTCCAGGTGTAGGGACAGTGCAAAATATTAATATATGATAAATAATGGAACAATTAAAAATAATAGCACAGAGTTTTCTCTCCCCCCTTTCCTTCCTATTTCTTTCTTTCTTTCTTTCTTTCTTTTTTCTTTCTTTCTTTCTTTCTTTCTTTCTTTCTTTCTTTCTTTCTTTCTTTCTTTCCTTTTTTCTTTTTTTCTTTCTTTCTTTTTTCTTCTTTACTTCTTTCTCTCCCTTCCTCTCCCTTCCTCTTTCTTACTTGCTCTTTCTTCTTTTCTTGCTCTTTCCTTCCTGCCCTTCCTCCCTTCCTTCCTTCCTTCCCTTCCTTGTCTCTATCTCACACACACACACCTTTTCTGGGAAGAACTTATTGGGCGAACTCCAGAGCAGCGAGAGGCGGGACAATGAAGAAAGCAGCAACCCTGGAACATCCATCCGCCCTCCCTTTCGAAGCACATGGGTGGGGGCGGAAGCCCCGGGAGTTCCTGGCCTCCCTTTCGGGGCACAACAGTGGTGGCAGCAGGGGCAGTGGCAACAGTGTGGCTATGGGAAGCAGCCCCAGGAGTTTCTGGCCTCCCTTTCAGGGCACCTCCACCGCCCCAGCACAGCAGAGAAAGCGAATGGAAAGCCGTTCACTTTCTCTGCTGTGCTGGGGCCAAGAGGCCGGGAAATCCTGGGGCTGCTTTCCATAGCTGCGCTGCCACCGCCACTGCCCCCCCACCCTCTGGACTGGCTTGAAAACAGCGCCCCACCTTGGCCTCCTCCCGCCCGGTAAGGGGGAGGCCCGGAAAGGCCCCAGGCAATGGGCGGGGGCCTAGCGTGACTCGCAGGCTTACCTGTGAGCAGGCAGATCAGGGTTGCTCAGTTGGGGCACAGGCACCACGTGGGGAAGTCAGGTTAGGCAAGCCATGAGGGCCCAGCGTGCCACATAGGAAGGGAGGAGTGACTAGGCGGGGCGAGTGGCGGGCGAGCGAACTGTGTGAGGGAGTGAGCATCGGGTGGGTGGGGCAACTAAGTGACCAGCGACCGGGGAACCGGTTCGGGGATGTGGCCAGCCAGAAGTTACTACCAGTTCCGCGACCCACACCTAATCACCGCTACCAGTTCTCTGGAACCGGTGCAAACCGGTTAAATACCACCTCTGGTCATGAGTCACTTTTTTCAGTGGTGTTGTAACCTTGAACAGTCACACCTGTAGTTTATTCCCTGCTGCACTGCTTTTTAACCTGCATAGGGTTCTTAAATGTAAATGTTCAAATATGTAATCTCACATTATGATTTGAATTGGTATAACCCATGCTATCATGTCTGGACGTTCACCCAGGTCTTTCATTTTGAAAGTAGAATCAATCTGCTTTTACTTGGGTCATTTCTGGATCAAAGTCTAATGATGAATAAAAAGCCTCCTTCCATGTTCTTTCATCATTTAGCATGTAAAGACTTCTTAGGACAGGTGGACATGAGATGTGAAAGCAATTAGCACCTTATCACAAAGTGTTAGGATATACTATACGTGTATAATACTTGTATCTAATTTCCCACCGATCTTGGGAAACACAGTTCTTTGAGAGAAACTATGGAAAGAATTAGTAATAGAGGTCTCTATATTTCATCAAACAACATCAAATTTTGAAAAATGCTATGATAGTTAAATTGCTATACATCAGTTGCTGGTGTACATGGACACTTGCCCTTCAGGTTGTGCTCCAGCAAGACTCTTTTCCTAGACTTAAAAAATGGCAACTTTATGATGTAATTTGGATTAATTCTAACTCTAATTTCTTCTTTGTCTGATGCCAGAATAGCTAAACTTTGTTTTTCCCTTCTGGCCATTCATCTTTCTTTCTGACTTTTTCAGACACTCTGTGCCAGGAATAAAGGAGTAAAGCATTTGTAAATTCACAAGAAGGGTGCAAAAAGGGGAAAGCATTTGGAAAGTTCATCAGCAATAATGATGGCAGTGCAATAAACTTTGAATTACAGATGCTCTAGGTCACTTTAATCTTGTACTATTATGAGAAGAACAGATGGCATAGAAAGCTGTTTCATGCTTCTCTTTTGGGGGCTGGCCTTTTTCAAACAACAGCCAAGTGTGCTTTCTATTCCTTTTCTTTTCCTTGTTGAAAGCAGAATTTGTACAAAGCCATCTTTTTTTTCTAATTTAATACTTTGGAATGGATAGCTGTGTATCAAATATGACTAAGAATTTCAAATATATTTGTTGATTTAAAACTTGTTCCAGTACTTCTCCTTTTGTTCCTTGTTGGTCTCTAAAAGAAATGCGGGAACTGCTTTTTTCCCCTCCCCTTCCTAAAGGTTTTTGCCTATGGTTCCCTTTCACTTGTAAGATGTTTCGCGTAGGCAGATTATTGGTAACACAGTGGTTAGAATGCAGTTCTGCAGGTTACTTCTGCTGACTGCCGGCTGACTACAATTTGGTAGTTTGAGCCTCACCAGCTCAAGGTTGACTCAACCTTACATCCTTCTGAGGTCGGTAAAATAAGGACCCAGATTGTGGGGGCAATATGCTAACACTGTAAACCACTTAGAGAGGGCTGTAAAGCACTGTAAAGTGGCATATAAGTCTAAGTGCTATTGTTATTGCTATCAGATGCAAAATAGAGAACACTACCACAAAAAAACAAAGCCAGTTGGAATACGGTTAGCCACCAATTCCTGTCCCACTCATATATTTTAAATCAACACTTTGTGATGTTACCTCAAGACATTACCAAATAAAGGAAGAGACAGACTACGATTCTAATACAGTCTGGCAACTGTTCTTTTTAAATTGCTGAGAAATGGGAACTTCTGCTTACATCTCTTGGAGCTCTTTCTAGCTGTCATTATTGAAAGCGGACAAGGTTTTCTACCATTTTTGAAGT